TTTGCTGTGTGGCCAGTGGCAGGGCAGGAGGGGTCTGGAGACTGCTGGCCAGGGAAGACACCGTAAGGCTCCATACACAAAAGGTCACGGTCTTTCTCCCGCAAAACTTTTAGGATGCACGGAGTTATCCAGGCCTGCCCAGGGAAGGAGCCAGTTCAGAATCTCTGGTAGTTGACCTTCTCATCCCTCCGGCTCACTCCATCATGGTCTGCTGGCTGCTGTTCCAACACCCAAGCACCCCCAGGCCTCTGACCCTTGATTCTTACTGTTTCCTCTGCCTGAAAGAGCTACTTTGAGGTTTTCCAGATGTCTGCTCAAAAGTCACCTTATTATTCTTTCTTGGCCACTGCTCGAGAGAAGCACCACATGCTTTGTCATTCTCCACCTCATTATCTGCCTTTCTTTTCTCACAGCACTAACCACTGACATATTTCATAACAGGCACTCAACAGAGTATGTATGAATGAATGAATAAATGAGTGGGCACGGACGCTTTCCTGATCCCTACTTTGCAGCACAGCAACCGGTGAGAGGGCGCAGCGTTCATTCACAGGTCCGCAAACAGAACAGAGTCTGCAAACAGAACAAAGCCGAAGCCTGAGCCCCAGCCTATGAGCCCAGAGGTTGGACAAGAGACCCAGAATGGGTTATGGGTTAGGAGTAGCTGGAGAAAAGCTAAGCCTGACAAAGAGCATCAGTGCTCCTGCAGTGGGGGGTGCAGAGCAGTCTGGGCAAGTCAGTTGATGAAATAGATATTTAATGAGCATTTAACAATCCAGGCGGATGTGCTTTTAATTTTTTCTCCTGATGTCTAATCCATTCTAATCAGCTCGAGAGCTGTGATTAGATACAGAAGGAAGTCGGGATACCTAAGAGAAACAAAACCACTTCTGGTTATTGTTAGAATTTTCCAATTTTCCAAATAAGCAGGATTCTAGGAAGTGTCCTCACTTACATCAGGGCAAAGAGCATTTTGGGCTTAAGATCCTGCCATAATATTTTTCTTTCTTTTTCTGAGCACCTTTTTCTCATTGTAATGTTATATTTATCATGAAGAAAACCCTCGTACATTCTAGCATGAGTGTGGGCAGGAGAAGCTCCATGAAGCAAGGGCTTTTCTCTGCTTTATCTCACCCCCAAATTATGTGAACAAGGGTGACTGTCCTGGAGCATGCCTCATTCTTGGGACACCCTGAATAAGTACTGGTCAAGTAGAGAACAGCTGTGTGGACAGGGTCTCCAGAAGACGTTCCACCAGCCCCTCTTCACGCGCTGCGTGGATGGAATGAACGTGGAGATTGCAGACACCTCTCCTCCACCCTTACCTCTCCTCTTCAATTTCTACTGCTCTTTTTCTTTGCTCCATAGTAGCTATATTACTGTTGTCCAATATCCCAGATATATTCCAACGTCGGGTCTTTGTACTTGTGTTTCTGTTTGCCTAGAAAGTTCTCCCTCTACTCCATGTCCTCAAGGCTTGCTCCTTTTCTGCAAATGTAACCTTCCAGGGACTCCTGTGACCCCACCTAAATTTCTATACCCCCTAACAGTCACATCCACCCCTTACCCTCCTTCCCTGCTTTGCTTTTCTTCTTAGAACTTTTCACCATGTAACATACTATGTATTTTTTCTTTTTTCTTGTTCTTGTTGTCCCCTCTCCTCCATCTGCTAAAACATATGCTTTAGCAGAGAGGGGTTTTTGTCTGTTGTGCTCACTGCCACATCCCTCCCTAGTAGCTGGAACAATGCCTGGAGCATGCATAATAGGTCCCCAATAAATACTTCTTGAATGCATGAATGCACGCCAGCTTCAGGAGGGCAGGGACCCAGGATGTTTGCTTAAGTTCTATATCAGAAGTGTGACAGCACAGGCTCGTGTTTACTCACTGGCCATGCAAACATTGAAAAGAAGACTGAAAGCAGCGGTTCTGACCCTGGCTGAGCATCAGGATCGCCCGAAGAGCTTGATGTAGACACAGCTGCCCCAGCCCCAGCCCCAGCCCCGGTGATGGTGACTTCAGCAGATTCACCAGGAATTCTAGTGAAACAAGGGTCGAGAGTAGGGATTGGCTTCCTGACAAATTTTGATCATATTGATCAGAGTGCTTGACTGCAAACACTAGGGAGAAACCGGGTAATGTGAGCAAAAGGGAATCGGTTGGTTGGGCATAGGAGGGAAAAACTAATGAAGTGTGGAGGTTCTCACCAAGACACAGGCAGCAAGGCAGGTCTTTGCAGCTGGGACCAGGGCAGTCCAGTGGAAGAGCGAGCCATTCCTGCGGTGATGACCTCCATCTGACCTGGTCCACCAGTTCACTCTGTCCTTGCCTGGCTGGCTTTGGCTGAGCAAGTTTAGGTTACAGGCCAAGTTTAGGTTACAGGCCCAGAAGAGGGAAGCTTTCTTCCAGTGCTATCAATAGAAGTACGATGC